GGACGACAAGTCCCAAATCAAGGCCTGAGAATCATCCCCGGCGGTGCAGATGTGGCAAGAACTATGCGGCGCCCAAGCAATAGCGTTGACACTAGCTTGGTGTCTCTGTAACTCGACGACGGGGAGTGTTGGGAATCGAATGTCAAGAACGACGACCTTGGCGCTGTCCATGATAATTGTAGCCATATATCTAGGGTCCTGCTTGTTCCAGCCTAGTCGAACCAAGGGAGTGTCAGGCTCGGAGCTCTCGTAGATGATGGTAGAGTGCTCCTTGTCGCGCAAATCGAAGACCCGGACGGAACCGTCGGCAGAAACGGAAGCAAATACACCAACGCCGCCCCAGGCGATATCGTAGACTTCCTTATCATGGGCGATAAGTTGCGTATCAACGGTCTCCCGCTCAATATCCCAGATTGTGCAGGTAGTATCGATACTGGAGGTTCCAATACGCTTGGGCTCGGCATCGTTCCAATCAAAGGAGGTAAGAGGACCACAAAACTCGCTGTTCTTGTTGCCATTAAGAAGGCTCTTGAGCTCCACCGAAGAAGAGTCATCCGAGATGCGCCAAACACGGAGAAAGTCGCTGGAAGTAGCGAGGAGATCAGGGCGCTGGCACTCCTTATCCGGGATGAAGATGGTCTTGGTGGGAGGATAGGGATGCTCGAAGGAGAGATTAGGGTCAGAGCGAATCTCACCACTGGAATCATCGAGTTGGACAATCTCGACACGGTTGGGATACTGCTCGAGAAGGCTAGCAATGGCGAGGCGGTACTTCTTGTCACGGCGGACGCTCCAGTTCATGGCGTAGATGTGCCATGGCGCCTCGTAGGTATAGATCTCAGACCGCTTCTGCTGCTCGTCGGAAGCATCCGGATTGGTGTCGCTGTTTGCACCCATCGGCTTCTCTCTGGAATGGCTTCTCCAATGGATGCAAGGTAAAGATCTTGTTCACAAAGGCCCGTATGAATGATCGGAACGAATAGGTCAATTCAATATTGGACTGCGACGAACAAGGTATTTGCGGGAACATCAAACTTCGAAAAGTAATGCTGTGCAGTAACCCTTAACAAAAATTTGTATTATCCATCAGTAACCTCTTTATCCCGATGAGATCTCACAATCCGCCCCTTTGGCGATCTCACAATCTGCCCCTTTGGCCTCGTGTCTACGAGGAAGAGGTTTCTACACTCTTATAAGAAATATTGTGTACCCCTCCCCGTGTGACGTGGGATCTCACAATTCACCCCTTGTCTCTTTATCCGATGTGAGATCTCACAATCCGCCCCTTTGGCCTCGTGTCTACGAGGAAGAGGTTTCCACACCCTTATAAGAAATATTTCGTACCCATACCCACGTGACGTGGGATCTCACAATTCACCCCTTGTCTCTGTGTCTACAAGGAAGAGGTTTCCACACCCTTGTAAGAAATATTTCGTTCCCCTCTCCATCCGATACGAGGATCTCACAATCCACTCCTCTTGGCCTCGTGTCTACAAGGAAGAGGTTTTCACACCCTTATAGGATGTGGGATCTCACAATCCCTCTTTAACCCTATGTCTACGAGAAAGAGGTTTCCACACCTTTATAATGAATATTTCGGTCCCCTCTCCACTCGTGGGATCTCACAATCCACTCTCCTTGGACTCAACATGTTTACAAGAAAGAGGTTTCCACACTCTTATAAGGAATGTTTCGTTCCCATCTCCACTCGATGTGAGATCTTACAATCCACCCCATTGAGGCCAGCATTCTCGTTAACACTACATGGTGTCTAGCTCTAATACCATTCATAACACCCAAAGCCTACTGTAACATAAATCGTTCATTTTAACCCGTTACATACCATCATTAGCCTCACAATTTTTAAACTCATCTTCTAAGGAGACGTTTCCACACGAAATATTTCGTTTTCCTCTCTATTCGATGTGGGATCTCACAGATAGTCTCATCTTCTCCCTCTTATTCGTTGGTTTCTTAAAATCTTCATTACTTCCCATCTTCTATTATCCAATATGCTAAATTGCTCGAAAACGAGCAACGAATATTGTAGATTAATTTGGTTCGAAGGATTTAATAGTGGAAATGCTAATGGGATTTTGAAACCCATATTAATATGTTTCAATTAAAATTTACAATTACTAACCATACATTAAAATTAATTATGTAACGCTAATATGCTAAATTATTCTATTATTAAAATTTTAATATAAATAAACATAATTATATTTACTTAAATCATTTTAGGTAACATATATTAACAATAATAAATTATTTATTTACTTAATTATACACATTATTCTAAAAATATTTATAATAGACAGTAATCAATTACATAATTAATAATTTATTTTTCACCATAATCAATTATTTTTGTAAAAATAAGTGATATATTTATTTGTTTGAAAATATTAATTTAAAAAATTTAATATAATTAGATAGAGTTAAAAATTCATCGACGACCACGTGTAAAGGATTTAAACATTTAACTACCTCTTAGTCGATAACTATGGCCTAGTCAACTGATTTATATAAGATTGGCAATATTTATTATATCTTTATTGTTGTTCGAGTTTAATAATTACGAGATAGAAATTTAAAATTTTAATATTTTAAGATAAGGTAAATATAAATATAATTTAACGTAAAATTAATGTTTATAAATAATAAAAAAATAAAAATCATAATTATTATTATTTTGGAAGGCGGTTAGATGCTTTTTATCTTTGAAGCTTAAATAATTATTATACTATTTTTTGTACTTTTCTTTTTTTGTCGTTTAAGAATAATTACTTTGAGAAACATTAAATTAATTTGGCGAAAAGAAAAAACGACACTTTATTGACATTTAAAATAAGGGAAAATTATTAAATTTAATCCAAAATTAATGTAAAAAAGGAATCACGAGGTTGTGAGATGCCTTGATTCATTGACTTTGACCAAAAAATAACTTTATTTTCTATTTATGAACCATTTAAATATAATAAAAAATGTCTGTTTTTTTTTATTTTTTATTTTTACAAATTGAATATTTAATTTCATATTTGTATATAAGGAATATTTAAGTATTTATTTATTTTTATTCACTTTAATAGTTTTTGTTTTTTCATCGTTTGAGTTATAAAATATTAATTTTAAACGATACATACATATCAATAACAATACTAAATATTTTTATTATTATATTAAAATTTTCTTTAGAGAACAAAATATAACCGTTCAAATCCACCCTTAGTAGATATTATATCATTGTTGGTTTGTATAAAACATGTCTATTAGAGAGATGTTTCCATAATTTTATAAAAAATAATTTATTTTATTCTTTAATTGACGTGAAATTTTACAAAAAAAAAAAAAAAAAAAAAATGATGCCACAAGACTAAATTGATAATTAATGATAATAATTAACTAATTATTTTGAAAGGATTGATTACCTGTTTTTTTTATTTTTATTTTATCAATAAGATTATTTAATGTTTTAAATTATAAATTATTGATGCGACTATTCTTATTAAATTAATCGAAAAATTAGAAGAGTTAAGTTGTACATTGACTTTTAAAATTTTGATAATGATCTCCGTTCCGTTCTTAGTTCCATATTTATAAAATTTACCATTATTTTTCTACATTTTTCTATGGTTTTTACATTTTTTTAAATAACTATTTAAATTTGTAATTTTTTAAAAAAAATAGATAATATAATCAAGTTTTTTTTTTTTTTAAAATAAAAACTGGTTATTAAATATATTTTAAATTTATATTAAATAATTATAAAATTCTTATTTATTTTGAGTGGCGGCCGGCGGGTGGATCTAGTAAACAAATCCAGCGACCGCCGTTAGATCGCACCCGGCGTCGTCAGGCAGTGCTTTGGAATGCGTACCGGTACAATCAGTAGCCAGTGTTTTTATTTTTTAATTTTTAATTTTTAATTTTTAAAAAATTGGTAATAGCCAGACTCTCGGTCATCCACGTGATTCATCATTTTCCGAAATTAACTTATACACGTCGCAGCGTTGACTTCTTAATATAGTACCGGTAGAATCAGTCATCCAATTGTTTTGTTTGGTTTTTTTTTTTAATTTAATTGATCATTTTCCTAAATTAACCTGTCCTCATCCTCATCGCGTTGACTTGGCGCCAAAATTAATCCCACGGTAACTATAAATTTACCTCTCCTTTCTCCTCCCAACAAATTTTTATTTACTGTCCTCCCAAAATCTTCCACTTGTCCCTTTTTTTTTTCATCTTTTTTTTAATATTAAACTAAATTCAATGAAATATTTATTAATTTATAAAAATTGTATTGGATATGATCCCGAGTTTATAATCAAGGAATACTATCTTAATTAGTTTGAGACATTTTGGGGAAGCCCAAAGCAAAGCCATTAGAGCTTATGCTCAAAGTGGACCATCTAACATGGGGATCAAAGTCATGCCCTAACTTAGCCATCACAATAGAATTCTCAAATGTCGAACAAAAGACTAAAAAAGAAAAAGAGTAGGTATATAAAAAATGACCAAGACTCTAAAAGAAAAGGAGTCATGCCTCGATTAAGGGGAGACATACTTTGTTCGTGAGGAGATGTTGGATGAAGTCTCACATCAACCAATTTAAAGAATGATCATGAGTTTATAATCAAAGAACACTATCTTAGTCTCACATCAACTAATTTAAAGAATGATCATGAGTTTATAATCAAAGAACACTATTTTCATTAGTTTACTCAGTGTGGAGAAGAGTCGGATTAATGTAGCAAACTAAATTTAAAATTTTAATACAGTAAAATAAATTTACCATTTTACTCGTAAAAAGACGAAGTATAGAAATTTGATTTGACAGCCACGACCAATAATTGTACAGAAGATATTTTTTTTTCTTTTTTTTCTTTTTAAAATTTTAATAATTAAAAGAAAGATATTTTGGCCTTTTTATTTATTTTTTTGTTGCATGGGAAAATAAAAAAAAATAATTTTCTTTTTTTTTCTATGGATTCTCCATAGCCATTACCAGCAAGATTGATTAACGCAACAGAGTTGCTGGAGATCCAGAGGAATTGAAAGCCCCACCTCACAGGAACCATTCTAAATTTAATATTCCTTTTTTTATTTTTTTATTTTTTTTATTTTAATAAATAGATTTAGGATGTTCAATCCTGTTGTTAGTTCTTCTTGTTACTCCGCTCCTCCATCTCCGGCGTCTTCCGATCCCGGATTCATCTTCACTTCCGCCGCCGCCGCCGCTGTTGCTGCTGCTGCAGCGAGTAAATCTCATAATCTCATTCCCTATCCCATTTCCAATATTCGATACTACTATTGTAAGGAGCATCACGTCAATTCTTTTCGTGGATATCGTTATTTTAATTCTACTTCTTGTTTCCTCCGCCATCCCTGTTCGGGGTCCTTCGTCTGCTCATCCGTCCCTGGATTTTGTTGCTCGCTTAGCAGAACTAGAGGCGGCGGCGACGGCAACGGCGAGCGGGATAAGAAAGTGTCTTCTATGGGTTTAACTGATGTGGATTTGTCGGCTGCTCGGAAGATACCTCGACTGAATGCTGCCGTGCTTGGGGAATCTCAGGCTACAGAAGATGATAACGTCATTTTACCTAGTGATCAATTCTCTTCCCGCGCTCATGTTTCTTCCTACCTCCAGGTTCGTTTCTCTTTACTTGTTTATTTCACATCTGGATTGGATTGCTACGGTGATCATCTCCTTTTAAATTCTATTATTGTTCTTCATCAGTATTTGGAGATGTATCAAAGGTCCATTGAGGATCCTGCTGGATTTTGGTCCGATATTGCGTCTTCCGAGTTCTTTTGGAAAAAGAAATGGGATCAGCAAGTCTACTCTGAGAATCTTGATGTCCGGAAAGGGGAAATCAAGATAGAGGTGAGCCTCAATTCTGATGATCTTTGCCCTAAATATACAAGATCACTAACACTTCTTTCTTCGTTTAATACTTCTCTATTCCGAGCAGTGGTTCAAAGGTGGAATCACCAACATTTGTTACAACTGCCTCGACAGAAATATCGAGGCTGGACTAGGGAAAAAGATTGCTCTTTACTGGGAAGGAAATGAGTCTGGTTTTGATGGCACCTTAACTTACAATGAACTTCTACACAAAGTCTGTCAGGTTGTTACAGTCTTTAATAAATTCTATGTTTTCGTTTCACTACTTCATCCTATAATCTGTATTAGATTTCTAAAGTGATACAAACCCAAACAATTTTAATTTGCTGTTTTGGTCTAACTTTGATCTTATCCGTCTGTCAAAGCTAGCAAACTTCTTGAAAGATAATGGGGTCAGAAAAGGTGATGCTGTTGTGATTTATATGCCCATGCTAATGGAGCTTCCTATTGCCATGCTTGCTTGTGCTCGAATTGGTGCTATTCATTCGGTATTCATCAACTTTATTCCTTGTCCACCTACTTGAGATTTTCTTCAATTTCATGTGTACCAATTGCTTTTCATTCAGGTTGTTTTTGCGGGGTTTTCTTCAGAATCTCTCGCCCAAAGAATCATAGACTGCAAACCAAAAGTTGTGATTACTTGCAATGCTGTTAAACGAGGTTCTAAAGTTATCCACCTTAAAGACATTGTAGATGCTGCTCTCACAGAATCAGCACAAAATGCAGTCTCTGTAGGTAGGGAACTTTTGAAGTTGATTTTTGTTATTATAACTATTTTCTCTATATGTGTTTGTTTGGTATTTAAGAACCCTACTTCACCATGGCATTTCTTTTTTTTTTTTTTATAAAAAAATTCAATTTCCTGTTCTTCTTCAGCTTGTTTTGTAGGGATTTGGAGCACACTTTTTCCCTTTTGCATAAAGAATTTTACTTCTATTATTAAATCAATTTAAGAAAAAAAAAAAAGAAAAAAGAAAAAAAAAAAGAAGAAGAAAGACTGTGAAGCAAGTAATAGGAAATAATAACTTTTTTCCCTTTTCCATAAAGAATTTTACTAACTTTATTAAATCAATTTAAGAAAAAAAAAGACTGAAAATTTCATGAATAATACACATTTTTAAAAGAATTGGTTGTTGTGAGCAAGAATGGTGCTGGGAACAACTGTTGTCTTTGGAGTTTTTACCTCCTTGCTTTCAAAGTGGTTAGCAGAATTTATTTTGAGAGGATTTGTGAGTTCGTGAGGTTCTGTTTAGATCCTAATTCCATTGGCCATGTTCACTATGCGAACATGGTCTCCTACAAAGAAAAAACCTATAAAAAATTGCCAGTGCGTTTGAGAGGCAACCTAATCTTGGAGATTGGTTTTCAAAATTCGGTGAATTAGAGGGAAATTACTGGAATTGTGAGGCATCCATTCAGGGTAGGTTGTCTGATCTCCTTTGAAGCTTGGTAATAGATTATGGTCATTAGAAGTTTCATGAAACCATTGATGCAAGTTATTCATGGGTGCGTGTATATTTTTTTCTTCTTCTTCTAACGTGGAAACGGGCTTTCATTGAGACCCTCACGAAAGGAGAAGCCACAAAAGAAGACCAACTGCGAAAAGGGTCTCCAATCAAGCAAAATTAGGCCTAATGGATAATTACAAAAAAGTTTTGCCATCGAAGCCCGCAAAGAAACATTAAATGTGTCCAATTTAATGGATACTTGCATTAGGGTTCCTTAAGGTTACTTGATTGATTGAAAAATGTATTAGCAATTCACTTGGGAAGGAAATGATAATGTGTGATGTTGGTGGAGACCATTCTTTGGGAAGTTTGGGGCGAGCGAAATCATAACATTGTTGAGATTTGATTATGAGAATTTTTGGTGATCCAGGACTCTGAGGGAAATGTTAGGATGGTCTCAATGATTTTGGTTTTGCATCTTGGTCATCTGGAAGGATCCAATTGAAGAATTCGTTTCAGTATAGTTGAAGGTTTGAATGACTGTCTTATTCATAAACCCATTGTCCAATGGATGAGTTATAAATCTAGGGTTTGTATCTCATATGATTTCACACCATCTCTGCAAAGTGGTTTTCCTGGCGAAACAATTTCTTTGGTGTTTATCTTTTTTTCGAGAAGAGAAGCAAATTTCATTGATGAATGAAGTACAGGAGTAAGAACTCCTAACACCTTGAGGTGTATTGCAAAAAATGTCTCCAATTTGAAATTAAAGAATTTAGACTATAATTAAAAAAACGAGTGTTTACATTTACACCAGTATAAAATATTAAACATCATTAAATACACAAGACTATCAAATCTTCTAAGGTGTTTATCTGCTAGATAATTGTTAGGCCCCAATTACGATTTAGTATGCTAGAAGAGGAAGGAAAGGGAATTCGCCCTCAACAAGTTAGTAAGAAGAATCAGAGTAGTGGGCGCCATGGTGATTACGCTGGGAGGGAATGTCCGGGTAGTATATATGTTAGGGAGTATAGTAACGTTTATGCATTTGGTGAGTGAATTCTGTAGAGAGAGAAAGGGAGAGATTACCAGCCCTCTCTAATAGGCTGGGATGTTTGTATCACCTAAGGGCAATCTTTTCTCTCTGAATGTGAATACATAATAAGGAATACCTTACAATAATCTTGCTATTTCTTCCTTTTTCCTCTGTTCCTTTTAATCTCTTTAATCTCCTCCTGTAGCAACATGCCTCACCTATGAGAATGAGTCAGCGCTAAAGAGAGAATCTACTAAATGGAAGACAGGGAGGGATATATGGTGGCAGGTTTGTATATCCTGCCTCATGCTAATGAATTTTCATAAATATTGAATGCTAACTTGTGGTCAATGCCCCTTGCTTCCTATTGATATATGTATTAGCTGCATGCGATCAGCATGAATATCAAAGGGTAGTTTTCTCTCTTAGTAGTCTTTCTACCGAAACACTATTTTATAAGATAATGATTCTTGAACAGAATTGAATATTTGTCCTATAAACGTTTCTTGAGACATTAAGGGGATTTCTTATTAGGTATTTAATACATGATTTTCACAAGTTTCTTGACAAGACCTGTAAATTTGTGTTTCATGTTTTTGGGTTGCAACACTGAAACTATCTTTTTGGAGGATGATTGGTTGTAATATATGCAGGATGTTGTCCCTAAATATCCAACTACATGTACAGTGGAGTGGGTTGATGCAGAGTATCCACTTTTCCTGCTTTACACTAGTGGGAGTACTGGAAAGCCAAAGGTAAAACCTTTCCGTCATTTAGAGTTCTTTTCTACTTTGCACTGGAAAATTTATAATTTATGGGTTTTGAAGGGTGTTCTTCATACAACTGGAGGATACATGGTGTATACTGCAACAACATTCAAGTATGCATTTGATTACAAACCATCTGATGTGTACTGGTATTGTCGAAACTAAGATCAACCTTATAACCTCCTTCAACATACATCTATATTGATGGTTTCACGAAGTGTCCTCCTCCTGATTCTAGGTGTACAGCTGATTGTGGTTGGATCACTGGGCACAGCTATGTCACATACGGGCCTTTGCTCAATGGAGCTAGTGTTGTCGTCTTTGAAGGGGTAACAGATTGATAATTTCAATTTACTTTGGTCTTAATATTTTAAAAGAGAAAAATCCATAATTGAATTAACTAAGGGTTTTTTGTCTTAGTAAATTCTTGGAGACCTCTGATCTTGACTGGCAAAAAGTCTTTGCCGTGGATGTCAATACTTGAAGGCCAACTGATTTAGTTCCTAAGAGACTCAAGATGTAAAACCAAAGAAATTATTAGCACGATCTCTCTTTTTTTTTTTTTAGTTCTCCGGTAAACTTTAAAGAGAATAAATATAAGGAGTTTTGAAGACAAGATAGGTAGTGAGGATGAACTATTGGAGAAAATACATTCTATAGGTTCTTTGTGCTACCTATAAAATTGTCTAATACTTCTCTTTTAACTACTTGGATATTGTTTATTTATATATGTATGCATGTATTATAAGGGCCTTAGTAGTTAGGACAAGCTTGTTCTCAGGAAACTCATGCGCTGTGAAATAGGGACTCAAGATGTTATGTGGGTTCCCAGAGAAGCTCAAACTGAAGAAGAATTCTGCCTTCAAATTTTGAAACACAACTTGTTTAGTTAAATAAATGATGCACTGGTACATTATGGGCAGAATGTAAGACAACCTCGTTCATGCCATAACCTTTCTGGGCTAGGCTTTGGTTTTATAGAGGGGCTTTGGGAAAGTACTACCTTTCTTTCTTTTCACGGAATAGTAAGAAGGCTCGAGTGTCATGAGAATATATAACAAGCACATTCATCTACTTTGTATGCTTGTTTCTACTTACTAGCATTACATGTGTGTGTGTGCCTAAAAAACTATTTAAAGTCTTGACAAAATACGCATCTTTCCTGCTGCAGGCTCCAAATTATCCTGATCCTGGACGCTGTTGGGACATAGTTGATAAGTATAAGGTGTCAATATTCTATACTGCTCCAACATTGGTACGGTCCCTCATGCGTGAAGGGAATGAGGTATGTCATGGATCTAATCTTATATTCCTAAATGCTGGTGGAATCAGTTTAAAAAGTGGTGGGTACAAGAAAATATGGCAATGTAATAACACCTAACTTGTGGTTCTGTGGAGGTGGTTGAAGACCATTTTTAATCTTTCCCATTTGTAGGATATTTCCGAAGTTGGAAAAACTTTTGAAAATATAAATGTGAGATAGGAGATGTGAGGAAATATTTGTCTTAATGCATCTCTGTCTTTGAGCACTTAAGAGTTGGGTCAATTTTTTTAATCTTAGATTCTTTCTTTCCAAATAGTTGGAGAGCTTTTATTATGACTAAGCTTTGAGCTCTTATATAACCTATCTGGGACTAGGCATCCTGTCCTCATTAGTTTTTTCTTTATACAAGTATATCTTGCAATTTTTTTTGAACTTTTATCCTTAATTAGGTCATTCTTCTTTAGAACTGACCTCGCCCTTTTTAGTCATCGAACCTTTCTCAAGCTAGTTGTCTGAAAATTAAAGATTCTTGTGGATGGAGTTTATTTTATAGCTTCTTTATGGCTCTTAGTGATGAAAGGGTTTTGTAGTATTTCTCTCTTTTATTTTGACATTTTGGATTGTGCTTCTGATCTCCCATGCCTTTGTTATAGGGTTTGAAAGCCTACCGGTTGTGTTGAAACTAGCCTTATCAAGCACCTATCTCTAATTTTTTAGCTTTATCACTAGAAATTCATTAGTGTCTTTCTCTCTCCAACTAAATTTCCCATATGAAAGCTATCGTAGCATTTAGCTATAGAACTCTTGGCTTCCCCTTAGAATCAAATGTGCACATCGACGTCAAAGATATTCCACAAACCATGGACAAGCCAAACAAGCTGCGAGAAACACTTTTGAAAGGAAGGCACCGGCAAAAACTTGAACATGCCTAGAACACAAATTTCTTCCCCATTTTGACCAATCACAATTCTGATAAGAGAACTTTAGCCTACACAAATCCATAATAAATGTGGATTTCCGTACACGAACCAAATAAAAGCTAATGAATCTTCAAGATAGGGAGATTGACTGAGTGAAACTCAAGGCTACAGAAATGTAAACTTGCTCCAAGCGAAATTCAGGCTTGAAAGCAACCAATTGGAGATTTCTCAAAGCCCAAAGAGTAATTCTAGAATCTTCTCCAATGACCACTTAACACTTCGCCTTGGTACTAGATGAAGGTATTTCACGCATCTGAACACAACAAATCTCAATTAATTTTGCAAACTTGCAAGGGATTAAAGGTGAAGGGTGACATGAAGTTTCTGGGGAGATTTTTAGCAATGGCTCTTTCAGAGACTTAGAACCTTGCTGGTCATTTTGAGGAATGAAAGGCCATCTGCTTAAGAATCTTCAACAATGATATCATCCCATGTATTATAATTAGGCACCACTCAAACTGACTGTTGATTCATCATCTGAATCATTGTGAGGAAGCTGGAACAGAAGATGAAAAAATCATGACATGACTTTAAAAACCGTTAGAAATTTGGAACCACCTAGACCATTGCTGAATTCAAATAAAACTGATTGGCTACTTTCCTTCAGTCCTCTATCTTGAAATTTCTCTTTTGTAAAGGAATCTGAACTCTATTCTTCAATTAAATCTTCATTAAAAGTGAATGATAAAGTAGCAGTAGTAGACAAAGGGATTTCGGATTTTTTCCTTGTATAAAAAAGTGGATGATAAAATAGTATGTCTTATCTTAAGAATCAATTTTTTATATGGAAAACTAGACATGACAAAACTAATATCTGCCCTCAGGTTAGAATGAATAATATACAACCATTAAAGTTTAAAAATATGATTTAAGAAAAATATAAAAAATAATTAAGCACTAACTTTTGTAATTTAGTTGGACAAAAAAAAAAAAAAAAAAAAAAAAAAAAAAAAAAAAAAAAAAAAAAAAAAAAAAAAAAAGCTTCAAATCTTAGAANGAAACATATAATGAAACAAGGATGATAAGAATAAGACTTTGGATCCATTGGTAGAATGGACAAAATCGCTCTTTTGATGTCCGTTGCCAGATATCCTTATTTGTAGCTTTTACGAGGAGATGACTATTTAAATATCTATGGAAATGACAAATAAATAGGGGAAAGAGGGTCCTCTGTCTAATTCCTCCTTTTCTTTTAACCTTGCCACTCGGATTGACATTGACCAGAACTGAGTAAGTCAGCATAGATATACACAACTGCAAGTCCAATTACTGCCGGGTGGATTTGGGGAATACTAGGACAATGCAGTCACCAATCTGAAATCATGTCAATTCCCTTTCCTTATTTCTCTTGTACTCTTGCCTTTGTACAATAATCTTTTTACCATCTGAGTTTATATTATTAATTATCATAACGGTTGTGTTTAGTTGATGAAGCCATGGTCGAGAGTTTAAATTCTATTCCATAGTGAATGAGAGACTTTGCCTCGTGATCTTCATAAAATATTACATAAATGGTATGCTGACTTCAAATTTTCCTCTTCCTGCAGTATGTTACTCGCTACTCAAGAAAATCCTTACGAGTTCTTGGAAGTGTGGGCGAGCCCATCAATCCTAGTGCATGGAGGTTTGGATATTCACGATGTTATCTCAATACTTCAGGCTTATTCCAAAAAAGAAAAAAAAAAAAAAAAAAAAGAACTATCAGCAGAAGGCTGAACTTTCTTTCAATGGTAAGATGTATCTAAAATGTATATTGATTTCTGTAGGTGGTTCTTCAACGTGGTTGGAGAGTCGAGGTGTCCTATATCAGATACTTGGTGGCAGACTGAAACTGGTGGCTTCATGGTATGTTTTTCTTTCAATAAGAAACGGCTTCATGGTACTATGTTTTGATAAGCCAATTGGCTTCATGGTATTTTGGTTTCATTTATTTTCCATATGGGATGAAGAGAGAAAAGGCATTTCCTATAGGGCAGAAGTTAATAGTTACTTTTCATTAATGTTTTGTATCAGTTTCAAATATTTATATTAGATTTAATAAATTAGTCAATTAAGAAAAAATTATATTAAATAATAGGAATTTAAATTAACTAATAAACATTTATTTTTAGAGAAAGAAAGAAATGTTATTTGAAAATGAAGAAATATAAAAAGATGGAGAATCCTCGAGGTGGCAAGGAAGCTTTGACATTAACCACCCTACACTTGGCATCAATATCTACAAAGAATAATTATTCAAAAAGGGTTTACAAAGAGAACTCCATTTTGAGTTGAGGCCAATCACCCTTTTTGTGATCGCCATCAGCCTATGTTGTGGATGGGTCCCCTTTTCATGGCATGATTTTTTAATCTTTAAATTGAATGAAATTATACTTTGTTTCTTATCCCTTGCTAAAAGGAAAAGAAAAGAAAGGAATGTTTCAACGACATTCATAATAAAAGTTTAACTAGTTGTGTTTATCAAGCATGTCATAACTCATTCCTTAAAACGCACACAGTTTTTTCTTTTGCAATTTTGTTTCTCAAACAATTCTTGGGCACGTAGTTGACATTTCATTAGGCCTAACCGTAATTTTTTTTTTTTCTCACAGATTACTCCATTACCAGGTGCATGGGCTCAGAAGCCAGGTTCTGCGACTTTTCCTTTTTTTGGAGTTCAGGTATTAAGGATACTTGAGCAGCTATTAAAATCTACCCTTCAAAATTCTCGCCTTTATATTTCCCACCACAAACGATCATTCTTGCTTCATCAAATTTTCTTGGTGCAAATGTAGCCAGTATTGGTGGATGAAAAAGGGAATGAGATTGAAGGTGAATGCAGTGGATATCTATGCTTGAAAAGCTCTTGGCCTTCCGCATTTAGAACTCTTTATAATGATCACGAAAGATATGAAATGACTTACTTCAAGCCATTCCCTGGCTATTACTTTACTGGTGATGGCTGCACCAGGTAAATCAAAGTGCTTGACCTCATCTTATGTCTGTCAAGGTGTTGATCAATGTATATTAGAGTTTGATATTGCCAATATTTTAGAGTGATTTTTTCAGTATGATAATTATACTAAGTTGGGTTCTATCATCAAGGGATAAGGATGGGTACTACTGGCTTACTGGAAGAGTTGATGATGTTATCAATGTCAGGTTTGTTAGCGTTTCTCCTTTATACTTCTATGGTATGCATAAGCCGTACAGTTACAACAATCTATATATCTCTTTGGTACAAAACTTAATTTCTGAAGGAAGCTTTTGGGTATGTGTACTATTTTTTTGCAGTGGGCATCGTATCGGCACAGCAGAAGTGGAATCTGCCCTAGTTTCACATCCCCAATGTGCAGAAGCTGCTGTCGTTGGTATTGAGCATGAGGTAGGTTTGCTGGTTTTAGTTTGTTAGTTTGTGAGTTTGTGAGCACTACTGATGAGAGTAATTCATGTGCTTGGTGTTTTTGAAAATTATGAATCTATTTGGTACAATTCTCTGGTCAGCATTCATGATTATTATATTCTAACGCTGCAGGTCAAAGGACAAGGCATTTATGCATTTGTGACTATAGTGGATGGTGTTCCTTATAGCGAAGAGCTCCGGAAAAGCCTTATTCTCATGGTTAGAAATCAGGTAAGTTTTTTATTTTGAACACCTGTTCTTATGATAATGACATCTTGCTGTAATTGCCTATACTCTGTCATGGTCCCGGGAGATTCCAAAATATTCCTTGTTCTAAATTTGTGTTTAATTCTACCCCCCACCACCAAATTGTATGGTAGGAAACGTTAAGGCTAACTAGTGACCAAACCTCCTCTGAAGAACTCTTTAGGTCCTTAAAAATCCAATTATTCCTTTCCATAGCCAAGTCATTCCATTCTCATTCCATTCCGGAGACTGTCTTTGCTGTCCTTGATCAAAAGATCGTATTTCTAAATTTTCACAAGGTCCCCCGAGAATCACTTCCAAAGCTTGTTGAATAATTTTTATGGGTTTTGTCATCTCACCAAGTCTAACTAATTTTTATGGATTTCGTCATCTACTGACAAAATATCGAGCTAATGAATCTCCTTCTCAAAATTCTGCCCCTATCACAAGGTGGACTCTAAAGAACTTACCCGAACAAAGCGTGTCCAACAATGGAAAAGAACAATCCCAACTTTCCTCTTCTTTTGTACAGACAGACTTGGAAAATAAATGTACATTTGTATGATATCTGTTCTGAGATTAAATATTGCACAACTTCCAGATCGGGGCTTTTGCAGCACCTGACAAAATTCATTGGGCGCCTGGACTTCCAAAAACGAGGAGTGGAAAAATAATGAGGAGGATTCTAAGGAAAATTGCCTCCAAGCAGTTGGATGAACTTGGAGATACTAGCACGCTTGCAGATCCTGGTGTGATTGATCAACTCATTGAGCTTGCTGATCGCTGAACGTGCAAATTAATCAGAAAATGTGGAGAACTAGATGTTAAACATATATTTCTCTACTTTCCCTGAACAGAACCATTTAGTTATGCTGTGATTTCCACAGAGTTCTTCAATAATGTTTGGGTCCCTCCCCCAATTGTAGAAATCTCATTATGAGTGGCACAGGACTCATTTAGACGACTTAATCCCACAAAGTTTCTTTGAAAGATTTCATTTTGACTTGATGCCTTCATTAATTTTTAGTAACTATTCTTGAAATTGACAGTTTTACATGTAGTTCATATTAGGTATGCCAGTTGTAGTTTACATGAGTGATGTATTGTCATTGATATACCTCTCCATCCATTGCTATATACGCATATAGTTCATTACAAATATAGCATCACTTTTCTGATTTGCAAATATTAGTAAAAAACAGATGCTTTTGTCTTAAATAACGTGAAACATTAGTTATATCATCGATATACTTAAATGGACAGCTTTCGTTATAATATTGTTATACTCATATGACTGAATGACCCAAACAACTCAAATTATCTAACTAAAAAAATATTTTCTAGATTTGCAAATATACTAATAACAAGAAACTTCAAATATTTGATGGTACAAGCACTGAACAAAATTCAAAATTAGATAAATCCAAGTTGTAAATATCACAACGTTAATCAAAGCTCGAAATTGAACACTTAAAACAGACATATTGGCAACTAGTTTATAGCCAAAAAATGAGTCATTCACCTTCTGAACACTGAAAAGAAGTAATGCTGAAAGGATACTTATACTCTATCCTTTACTGGTAATCCATATACAGTAACCATTATTTGTATCCTTGCACGATCAATACTTGGCCTGAATGATAGGCTCAAATGTAAATTTCCATACCACAATATGCAAAGTAGAATTCTAAGATAATAGATTACAACCTTTTTTTTTTTTTAATCCAAACAACGATTGAAAATCTACGTTACATTGTAAAGTTTCTAAAACAATCAATTATCATCCTTAAACTTTGGATAAAAACAAATTTGGGACCTAAGTGGATTAAAATTTAAGACATTACAATGTTAAATACATTAAAATTTCACAAGAAAAAAAGACGAGGCAGGATCACCTTTTTCCATCACCAACAGGCTGCTTTCATCCAAGGAATTCTTCAAATCTTGGTATGGTATAGTATTTAGCTTCTACAAGGCTTTCCTTACCAATAAATAATGAGGTTTTGGTTCATCTTCTCGTACCTCGAGAGTGCAAAGTATAGCTTATACGCCTATCCCACGATCAACGAGCAGCGAAGAAGTAATTATAACACATTACTACTTAATCATCTCCAATAGCCATAACGATCAGACCTGAGCTTGAGAGGCAAAAAGAATGAATGATATGAACAAATTTCAACATTTGGCGATCTTACAAAATTGAAATACAGCACTGTACAAAAAAAAAAAAAAAAAAAAAAAAAAAAAAAAAAAAA